GATCCTAAGCTAGCTCTGCCGAAGCAGGATGCACGTGGCAATCGCCAACGAGCAAGAAAACTGCCAAGAAGGAGCACCGGAACACTTAAACTCGAGATGTGAAGACGGATGCATTGGGCGGAAAGAGCCAAACTCAGAATCGCGAGCATCCGAATAACGTCTTATTCGGGAACAGACTTAACTACAAATCAATGCCCAACAGACGCCTGCAAGCGCAGGGACTCAAGTTCCACGCTGGAAAATAAAGCCGAATCCCAAAGACGAACCGAACTTCGGTCCGAGTTCAAGTTTTCAAATTTCCACATGTCCAAACCCACAACCCTCAGGACAAGCAAACTGGCTTAGGCGCGAGGCTCCAGGAATGGCCACGGCACCCTGCGATTTCGTCCAGGCCCGGCTACTTTTGGGGTACATGTCGGGAGCGTTCTGCTCAAACTGAATTTAGGGTTGGGGTTGGCATGCTGTAGTGGCTTACTGCTTGCAAAGGCATGCCCACCCCAAGAACTCGCGCACACTACTCCAAACGATCCAAGCCGGCCGGCCAAGCCAGAAAATTATTTCGCACTGCGAGACGTCTTCGGTCGAAGGACTTCTCTTTGTCTTGCCTTCCCTCCAGGCTTCTCGAAACACGAGAGCTCAAGGGACATGGATCGAGCAGAAGTCTATAGCCTAAAACACTGAACCCAAAATCCTCAGCCCCTAAACCCCAAACCCAAAGCCCATAAATGGACAACATGCTCACCGACTTCAAGGCCCTGCATTAACCTCCGAGCGGCTTCATGCCCAAGCCAAAACCCTTGCCTGGCAAAGGACCCAGTTGATGGCGACCTGTCTCAGGGACTGGAATAGTATAGGGTACAGTAGGGGTACTAGGCTTTCGGGCTCTTGGGACTTCGATTCTTGTAGGGTAGATGGTTTAAGGGTAGGGGTACTAGGCTTTCGGGCTTCGATTCTTGTAGGGTAGATGGTTTAGAGAGTCATGAGCATGATGGGGTTTAGGGCCCGGTCTTTTTGAGGGGTGGGTGAAAGGGGGAGGAGTGTGGCGCTAGAGCAGCTAGAAGTAATGCAACTTTTTAGGATGAGAGTGTTCTAGGCTTCGGATTTGGTGGACCCCACCAGACCTGTACCCTAAACCCTAAAACCCCCGGAGGCCCAGCCCCAGCCCTTCCATCGAACCCCGGAGGCCCGCCCACAGCTCGAACAGGAAGCCCTGAAAGCTCCTAAACCCTAAACCCTAAACCCTAAACCCTAAAGCCTAAACCCTAAACCCTAAACCCCTAAACCCGAAGCCCGAAAGCCCTCCATCCCGGAACCTTCAGGAAACCCCACAAAACCTCCTCCCCCTGCGCCTGAGAAGGCGTCTTGCCATATTTCCGGCCCACCTGGGGGCTTTTCTGACTCCCGGGCTTCACCTAAGCCACTGAGGCACTAAACCCCTAAGTTTAGGGTTTAGGGTTTAGGGTCGGGATTTGGGCGGTAGACTCTCTGGCGCAGCTAAAGCTAAAGTGATACATAAGGACTAGAACTTATGGCGCAATGCTAGAATATTGGGACTATCAGAGGTGCACACTTGGTGGCCGATGGGATTTGGAAATACTGAAGGCACAGCGTTGGGCACCATCTCCAAACCGAATAAGTCCTTGTGCCCCATAAAACCCAGTACAAAAACTCACCCTAAACCCTAAACACAAACCACTAAACACCAAGCAAAGTGTTTCCCCGCCTCAGCCTCATAGTACCAAAACTCACCCTAAGGCCTAAACACAAACCCGAGACACCAAGCAAAGTGTTTCGGGGGGCCCTCAGCCATCATCTAATATCAACGCGGCCTCTACAGGACCCAAAACCTCTAATAGAGGGGCCTGAATAATTAGAGTAGGGTTTCGGGGTCCATGAATTACAGTATATAATATTCATAATGACGAACTCCCAAAATAGTATTGGCAATCAAATTTAAGCCCCTACATTAAATTCCGAACCCCGAAATGCTAAAGGCACGTACCCCGCAAACCATTCCTGCCACAAGATGCATCAGGCCTCTCCGAGGGCAGTGAGCAACTGCCTCCAGGCCTTCCAACTGAGAGCCCTTCTCCCCCATTTAATCCCTGACTGAATTTCAAGGTTTAGGGCTTCAGGGTGTAGGGTCGCAGGATTCGGTGGTTTCAAGCAAGAGTTTAGGGGGAAGAGGAGGGATGCAAAGCCGACTGTTGAACTTGATTTCCCACGAATCAGCCCGCAAAAACCCCAAGCCCCTGAAGAACCCACGGGCCCTGGATCTAAAGCCAAAGCCCAAAACCCTCTGGGCCCTAGGGCCCAGGGTCAGAAAACTCCGAGCATCCCATTGAAGCAGAAACCTAGCCTAAACCCTAAACCCTATTCCCTAAACCCTAAACCCTAAACCCTAAATCCTAAACCCTAAACCCTAAACTCTAAACCCTCTCAGTGTGGCCTGCGGTTCACCGTCCAAGGCCGCACCTTGCCAGCTCTTTCAAAACCATAAAGGGTTTAGGGTTTAGGGTTCAGGGTTTAGGGTTTAGGGTTTAGGGTTTAGGGTTTAGGGTTCAGGGTTTAGGGTTTAGGGTTTAGGGTTTAGGGGCACCCTACAAGACCCCTTGGTAAAATTTGCCCAAAAAGCTAGATTGGGCTGTTTAAACCCTACCAAGCACCCTGTAAGAGTCGACCGGGTGTAAACACCATGGGACCCTACCGGATTTTGGTAACAAAGGCTTAGGGGCGAATCTAAGGCCAATTGAATTCTTCCGGCCCCTATATTTCGCTTTCTGGGCTTCCGGGTGCACGGCTTTTCGAGCTTTGAAGGCTTTGTAGTTTTCAGGACTTTGATGCTTAGGGTCAAGGACCAGACGAGTTGGGTGCCAGGCCTGGGCGGGCTTGAACAATCGCTTCATGTCTTTGGCTTCGATTGGAGTACAGTGGTCAAAGGTGTGTCGCCCGGTGCCAGCTCCCTAGCAGCTTTGGTTCCCGTACTTCTGCAGGTCTGCATGCATCCTGATCTCTCACTTTATCGTCGAACACCATGCCACGGGTCCTTGAGAATACATGGCCTGTGCCACCATGGTATCTCTCGGGAAGCATAGGGCATAGGGCCGGCGTTGAGGCTCTCAGCTTTTGGTCTGAGATGCAATAATGTGCGGAGTCTAGAAACTTCGGAGTTCAGTCTCCCGCAAACAGACCTGAAACTAGAACCATGTTTAGAGTTTAGACATATGGGAAGGGATAGGAAGGACATGTGTGGACATGTCATCCAAACGAAGTCCAGGGAATCATAAAGGCCCGAACGAAGCGGGATGTCGACGTTCGCTGTATGCACAACACCTAAATGCAACTACCCCGCCTTCCCAAAACCATCCCCGAAGAACCCATATCATAAACCCATCATATCTTGAATCGAAACACTGAAGGAAACTAATATTCATGAAAGCCACAGAAAACCCTGCAACACCCCTGAACCAAAGCACCTAAAACCCGATAAAGCACTCTGATCTAAATCCCTGTAACGAAATTTCCCAGAGCCCCTTGGAAGAACAGGCTTTGGGAGCCTGAGGAATCCTATCATCTCTACCAGCAGTCCCTAGACTCACTAGACCCTAAGCCTTTGAAGAACCTGCTTCGGGCTCCCCAGCCGAAAGGCCGCGAGGCGGCGCGCCCGCCCCGGGCATCGCCGCGGCGCTCGACCCACGGAGGCCAAGCGGAGAAGGGATCCTTAGACAGCTTTTTCCAGTTCTTTCTGTTGGTAAAACGGTTGACGTTGACTATTGTTGTTATTACTGCTATTATTGTATTTGTAGTTGTCGTGGCAGTAGTAGTAGTAGTAGT